ACATATATATATATATATATATATATATATATATATATATATATATATATATATATATATATATACATATATATATATATACATACATATATATATATATACTATATATATATATATATGAGATTCAAAACTTTTTATCATGATTCTTTGTAATAAGGTGTACATTTTGTGATTGATACTTAGTTTCTAGACATGTTTTTAAGAGATGGAGCTAAGTAGATATAAAGAAGGGGATGGTACAAAATTCAATATAATTGTAAGAACCTCTAAACTATATGATTGAGAAATTTTAATGAAATTTAGATTAAATGATCATAAATGTGCTATGCATTAGTAATATAAATAATTAAAGATATAAATAAATTATGTGTGCACATAAATCCAATATATAACTTTAAAACCATAAACTTTGTTATGTTCATCATGTGAATATTTAGGTTTTAACATTATCATCAAAGAACAATACTAATTAATCCACTAATTAGAGAAAATACAATTACTAATTCTCTTCAATGACAAGCTTCTAAAGTCTATATACATGTATGAAAATAACAAACTTTAAAGTCTTAGAACCTATATAATAAGTGTTTTTATAATACAAGCAAACGTCAAAGTATGGGTTAAGCTTTTATTACCACTCTAGAGATTTCTTCTAACCATGGTTCTCTCCTACTTCTTCTTGTAGCACAAGTATGTGCGGTCCTATAGCTTCTTCCCCATGATTGCTAGGAAAAACCAGAGAAGATTATATGAGGATAGACATTGAAATAAGCTTATCTTAACTCATTGGCCATCATCTTCCATGTATATAAATATGGTTGTGCGTGTTGCCCGCAAAACTCCCCCATTTTTATCTCTTCTGTTAATTTTTTTATCAGAATTTCATTGATTTCAGCTCCTACTATCATCACTTTACTCAACAGTCTTCTCTCTCTCTCTCCTCTCTCTCTCTCTCTCTTCCAAGAATATGGGATTAAGGGAAGTGGGATCAGCTCTGCCTCCGGGGTTCAGATTCTATCCAAGTGATGAGGAGTTAGTTTGCCATTATCTATATATGAAGGTGGCAAACAAGAAAACTTCACAGGGAACCATGGTGGAAGTGGATTTACATATCAAGGAACCTTGGGATCTTCCGGGTGAGTTTTGCTATGTTTTGTAGAGCTTTCTGCCTTTTTTTTGTTTTTTTGTTTAAATAATGTTAATTTATGCAAAAAAAAATTTGTTTTGTTAATATATATTGATATATAACACACTGATGTTGCAAGGCACAACAAAAATAACCAAGTTTATAAGGATATTCAATATTAATCAAAGTTATATTCTAAAGCTGAAGAAAATATTATGTTTGGTTATCCAGACGTATGAATGAATTGCATCATGTCGTGTGCATAACAATATGATGCGATCGACCAATGTCACTGTACATGCACATAGTATCGAGGCATAATATTTTCTTCTAAAATAGGATTAACTAGCTTTAATATTATTATGTATGTATAGTAGGAGATTGAGGTAGAGTATTAACAGTCTAATAGTACAATAAACAAGACAAAAAGTTACTTAAACTCCAAGTAAGACTAATGTAATATGACATATTTACCCCTACGACACCTTCCTCCTCCCTTCCATATTTTCTTCTAAATTCTCTGAACTTCTTGCATGCCAAGGCAATCTTCTTAAGGCCATCTCTGTCCATTTCTACAATCATTGATTACAAGCTATTAGAGATAATAAGAAAACTGCAAAAAAAAAAAAAAAAAAAAAAATTAAGTTTGTTAAAACATATACAAATGATTCACATGTACACGCTAATTAATGCTGTAGATCACTACGTGCATTAGCCATTTAGCTACCTGTATTATTCCCTTCAATAATACTGATTGCTTCAACACTGGCCCGCTAGTTTCTTGTGGCGCAAAAATCTCCAATGATTTAAACTTGCACTCATACACCTCTCGTGTGCCTCATAAATTCTTGCATTTTATGCATTTTTTTTTAAAGATATATATATATATATATATTGATTGCTATATATATATATATTGTTTATAAATTTCAATAAATATTTTATTTAAGAGAGTAAAAATCTATTGCATAGAGTTTTATAAAATATAAATATGATATAGATATGGTCAACTAAAACTCTAAACTCCATCCAAAATAGCTTAACACATGAAACAAAAACTAGACTATCGACTTCAGAATCTCTTAGTCATATTGAACAAGATAGCATTGATTGCACTAGACATGCATGTGGCAACATATAATTATATATACGGGGAATCAACACAATTAATAGTGTTTAATGAATAATGTTCAATCAATAATTGCTCTCTACCAACAAGACAAGATAGAATTGACAAGAGACGGTTTAGGACGCTTTTACATGCATACCACCCAATCATTAAACATTTAAATATCTAACACATAAACATTAACCTTTTGTTATATATATATATTTTTTATTTTCATTATCATGCATTGAAGGTTGTAATTGTAAAAAATATATAAATATTTTGCTTCATGATGTGTGATTTTCAGAGATGGCGAAGCTAAGTCCAAACGAGTGGTATTTCTTCAGCTTTCGTGACCGAAAGTATGCAACAGGGTCACGAGCAAATAGAGCAACAAAGACTGGGTATTGGAAGGCTACAGGGAAGGATAGAATTATACGCAACCCTAGAAGGAATGTGATGATGGGGATGAGGAAGACATTGGTGTACTATCTTGGTAGGGCTCCAAATGGGATCAAGACTAATTGGGTCATGCATGAATTTAGACTCGAGACTCCCCATTCTCAACCAAAGGTTTGTTCTTTTTATTTATTTATTTATTTATTAATTGAATGTATATATATATATATATATATTAGAGGATTGTGCTAAAACATTCATTTTTTAAATTTATTATTATATTTTCTAAGATATGTAGATGGTTAGATTTAATTTATAATATTATTTATGGATGCTTAAATATATAGGCATTCATCTATTTTATGTATATAATGAGGTGAAAAAAAGGCAATTATGTCAAGAAAAATAATACATTTAGAACTAATTATTATTTCATTATTTATTTTTTTTACCAAAAATAAAATCAAATTAAGTGAATGAAGGAAATTTTAAAATAATATGAATTAAGATAAGTTTTTTTAATTAGGATGGTGAATGAATGAGATATATACACAAGTAATCTCATCTAGAAAGTTAAAACTCATGTGTATAAAATAAATAAGTTTCATAGCTATTGTTTTTAGTTAGTATGATTGCCTAGCATATATTCTCATGACTAGCTTTAATTTTTTAACAACAATGTCAATGTGGGCCTCTTTCATTCACTATTTTAATATTAAAAAAAACTTATCCTAATCTATATTATGTTATAACATCACTACTTTTTCTTTTTTCTTTTTTTAAATAAAGTTTTTAATGATACTTATCAAGATAAATTTACTTATTTGAGTAAGCTTTTTCTTACGACAGGAGGATTGGGTTCTTTGTAGAGTATTTCATAAGAGGAAAGAGGAAAGAGATACGGAAACTACTACTTGCCACACTGTTATCTCATCTTCTGATTTGTGGAACCAGTTCCCTCCTATCGTTATAGATCAACCACCTCCTTATTATGAGGAAAATAATGGTTGCTCATTATCCACCGTTACTACTTATCAAGAGGAAGATAACAACTTAAATTGTATTCATAATCCTTCTCTTACACAATTTGAATTCTTTAATGACTTCACATTTGATCAAATGGAAGAGGGACCAAAGAATGGGAATATTGGACAGTATGAGCTCGTGTGGGATATGGGGCTTGACCATGGTGGCTATGATACTGTAAATCTAGAAGGAGTAGGCTTCTCAGGGTGAAAGAATAACCTATACATAATAGATGATGAAAAAGATCAATTATGAAGTGAAAGTTCTTGTAGATAGATATGTTGTGTTATTTTTTTTATTAGTGAAAGAGTTTCGCGTCATTGTTTGTAAGTATCTCACTCAAATGTTATTATAGAAGCTTGGTTGCATGAAAACAAATGATTTGTCGATTTTTTTTTTTTTCATTTTGTAGTATTTAATAAATTAAAATTGTCATAATCAATCCTCTTAGTATCTTCTATCATTCTCTTCAATTTTTTTTTTAAAAAAATAGTACTATTATTATTTTATTATCCAACTATTGTAAGATTTTCTTGAGTATTGCTAACTCGATTATGTTATTAATTATTATTAAATTTATACGTCATGTTTCAAAACTAAAGTATGAACCACTAGAATAAAGCTTAATATGAATCAACTAACTTAATAAATCATTAGACATTAAAGAATAGATGAAAAAGAAATGGTTCCTTATGTAAAATGATGAGACGTACGACCTAAATTAATAGGAGACTGAATATATATATATATATATATAGACGTAGAATGTTTATCTTATTGCAATCATGTTGCAATCACCAGAAGAAGCTAAAAGATCTCATCCTTGTGCCACAAGTAGAAGTAGAGGAAAACCATGCTCAGAAGAAATATCTTGAAGTGGTAATCAAAGCTTATCTCATATATTGACGTTTCCTTGTTTAATAAAAACACTATAGCTTCAATACATTTAAGGTTATGTTCATACACATGTACCTTTATTATTATTATTATTATTATTATTATTATTCGTGACACACGCACACACGCACGCACACACACACACACACACACACACACACACACAAATATATATATATATATATATATATATATATATAAAGTGATGTGTCCTCCTCATCCACCCTTTATCATACATAAGTAGTATAACGTACGTAATAATTTCTCCTACAGGTGATGTGATTTACAAAACAAATGGCCAAGCAATTATCATAAAATTATTATTATTATTATTGAAATGTTTATAAGGTTTACTCGAGTAATCGTTACAAGAGATAGTTGAAAATATTCTAGAATACTATGAAAATAAACTGGAACTTCAACAATACGAGTCAACACATTAACTTGGTTCAATGATAATGATAAACGGAATTAAATTAGTTAACTCATTTAATTATTTTATAATAAAATAATAATACCTATTACTTCGAATCTTTTTTATGATTTTTGTTCAACCAATTTGAAATGCACTTTAATAAAATCTATGAATCTTATGCTATTAGCAAATCAATATTAGTTCGATCCCCCCGAATATCTTCGTCATGGATGATTTCAATAGATTTGGAGTTACCCGAGTATTAATAAGATTTTGTTTGAGAAGACAGTGAAGTTTCGTTCTGATGCAATGAATGCCGACGCATTGATTTCCTCTTTTGGAAAAGCAGTGTCTTTTGAAGGTATTTTAACAGAACGACAATTATTCACCGTTTTAGATCACATATGACACTATTGTCTTCTAATAAATATATACTCTGGTATTTTAATTAGGTCCAATATTTTTCATTAAGCTCCAAGGAGTTAACCCCAACTCTTGCAACTCATTTGGATTACACTTGTATTTGCTTTTTGAGAGAGAGCACACCAAATCATTTGCAACATATTGAGTGATTGCTTATTGCAACAGTAAGGGTCTGTTTGAGTTAGCTGCAACTTATTAAAAAATATTTTTAAGACTACTAAATAATATGCTAATACTCAAAAAACTGCAGTAGCTATTATAATTTTTTTTTTTTTTTTGTCGAACCACAGCTAAAAAACTACCTCCGCATCTATTCAGGAGAGGTGGGATAACATAGATTTGTGCCGCATCGCCGCCTCAAATGGGCCTTAAATGTGTAGCTTTCTTCTTATTTTATAAAACATTGCAAATAAAAAAAAAATCAGAACAACTAACTTTGATAGTTAATTTGTCTATTATTTGCTAAAAAGATAATCATGATCATCATCTTTTGGAGAAAGAAAACAAAAACGTTTATGAAAGCAGTGAAAAAACAAAAAATAAAAAGGTTGAGAACATGATTTGTTAGGTATGACTCATATATGAGGAATTTGGAGTCCCCTGTATTTGGAGAGGTGTGTCTCCTGGAATGAAGATGTGTTACTCTTGGTGTGAAGATGTGTGTCTCTTGGATATTAGTGGGTTGGGGGAGCGAGGGGAGCGAGGGCGTGTTTGTAATTATCTGTTGGTTTTATCTATAAATAAATGTGTAACCATATTGGTATGTAACTCCTCTAAAATAGTGAATTCGCCGCTCTGCTCCCGGGGATGTAAGCAACTTTGTCAAACCTCGTTAAATCTCTGTGTTCTTCTGGATTTGTGTCGATTCCTGTTTTTTTCTTCGCCCTAAATTTCACAACGTGATTAATATTCCAAAATTTATTTTAGCTTTTTTAAAATTTTAAAGTTAAATTCAATAATTTTGGATAAAAAACAATAATAATAATTTGAAAACTTTTTATTGAGTTATAACAGTATTTGAAATGATTACAAAAAACTATTATGAATGGAACTTCGCAATAAGATGTTATGAATCATAAAGACATATTTGTAGATGAGAGTAAGGTAAGATTTTATAGTAAAATTTCACCAATGGTAAATATTTAAATTACTGAATATAGCCAAACATAGGTATTTCATAAAATGAAGATTTGATAATTATATCCATTGAATTAGATTAGTTATGCCTTAATACTTTCCCTAAAAAGGGAGGTGGAGCTGTGTAGGTGGTTTTGATGAGTGTGTCAAGCTAGATTCTGAGGCAAAATCGGCAAGTTAGTTTGAGTTCTTCGTATTGATTCGATCTTAGATCGATTAATGTTTGTTGGTGAACAGACATGAAACCAGCTTGGGTTTGGGTTTAACCCAACCTGATACTACTTGAATAGAGCCTGGCCCGTATAAATGATCATTTATCTAAGATATAATAGCTATCATGGTCAGATTACGACTCAATCCCATGTCAATTTCAAGTTGACGGGTGGTCAAGTTCAGGTTAGTAAGGCATTTTTGTAACCCTTAAACCTCAATTTTCACAGGCATATGAAACCTTTTTTAAGTATAAAAAGAAGTAATTCATAATTTAAATGTTAAAATAGTGGGGTTTTTTGTTGGCATGAAATATTTGGGTGGTATATATGAAAAAAAATAAAGTTTACGTGTTGGATATATATTTATGTATGATTCGGCGTGTTATCTTATTAAGAAAACTTGAATTCTGGTTGACCTAAATAATTTTAGGGTTGTGTTCAGGTTAAGAACTCTACCTCGTTTAATTTTTGGATTAGGTTCAAGTTGACCTACTAACCCAAAATTGACCCAATATTGACTTAAATCGATATGAGATTGGCTTGCATAAGGATGTCAAAACAGCTTGTTAAGCGGTTGATTCGCTCGCTAAGTTAACGAGCCGAACAATGACATTTTTTAGAGCTTGATGTATAAAGTATTCGAACACGAACAATGATTTGTTGGTTCGTATTTAGCTCGTTTTGGCTTAAAATAATATTTTAAAAAATAGAGTAAAAATTTATAATCAATTAAAATTATTAATTAAAAAAAATTAATTGGCAACAAGTTTACAAAAATTTATAATCAATTAAAATTATTAATTAAAAAATAGAGTAAAAATATATTAAATTATATTAAAAAATGATGTTTAATAAAAATAATAAAATTTAAATCTCGCCCTAACTCATAACAATCTATGGTTGCATGATTAAGTTGTTAGAACGACTTTTTGTTTTGCGAACAACACATGTTCGGCTTGCTAAGCAAACGAGTTGAACACGAACATTTTTTTTTGTTTGAAATATAAACAAGCCAAACACGATCCGAGCCTGGGCTCCCTCGTATTAGGCTCATTTACACCCCTAGACCTTCATATCTATTATGTTTTAAGCTAAACAGGTTATATGGGTTTAGTTCGGGTCAAACAGTTGAAGGTGGATCAGTTTTGAACTGGACTTTCTGATCTATTTAATATTTGAGTCGGCTTTGGGTCAAACAATTTCAGGACTAGTTAATTTTGGGTCAGACCTGATCCCACTCACAAACTTGATTTCTTATCCCTAAGTTGAGTACCATTTTATTAATTAATTTAAAAGTTCATAGTGATTAGGGATGATAAATGAACTGTATCCCACAATGTTATCTAAGTTAGAAGACTTTTATTACTCATTATTGCTCTATATATATATATATATATATCTATATATATATATATATATATATATATATATATATTACAGACAGCATTTAAAATTTAGTTAATTACGAAGCCAACATGCATATATTATTTTATAAAGAAAATTTTACATGCATATATAGCACATAATTCTTATGCATTTATATATTTAGCACTTAAAATTTGGTATTTATATTTATAGTATTTTATATTTTAATCCATGCATGAAAATGCGTATTTCTTTTTAAAAAAATTAATAAATAGTGATATTTGTCATGTTATATTAAAGATTTGAATGCTTTATACATAAATAAGAAAGTTGAATTGTTAGATAGGTAAATAAATTGGCTTCGTTTGGTATGTTTGTGAAATTAATTACAAAAACATGTATTTCTACATTTCAGTATCAAATTTGATTATGAATTTTAAATTTTGATTAATACTTAATATATATATGTATATATGAATATTTTAAATTTTGAAATAATGCAGACACCACATCCCCCATCAACCTCCATCCTATCAGAAAATATTATGTATGAATAACCAGACGTGCAGACGATAGTCTGGATCTCACAATGCCCTGTGCACACGCTGTGCACAGCAGCGTGGTACAATCCATGACATCTTCCAGCCTTGACAATTTAGTTAATATTTTTCTCACATTCATATTATTTGAATTTCCTTTTTAGAGGTGGTGGAGCACCCAAAAGTTCCATCTTTTTTGCATAATAGTATTGTTCATGCATTCCAGCTAAAAACTTATAAGGGTGTGCCTCCACTACTTATTTCTAATTGTAAACAAAACAATTTAGGAGCACTTATATACATAATGCATTCAAATCTTTAATATCACATAAAAAAATATTACTTTTATTTATTTTTTCAAAGTGAAATGCACATTTTAATGCATAAATTTATGACACCAGTGTTATAAGTTTAAATTTAACAGTGTAGTTGTTTGATATGTAAATAAGTAATATAATATATATATATATATAT